AAAAAAAATATAAAAAAATTATGAAAAATTATAAAAAATTATAAAAAATTATAAAAAATTATAAAAAGTTAAAAAAATTAAAATAAAAATTATAAAAAACATAAAAAAATTATAAAAATTATGAAAAATTTTAAAATATTTATAAAAAGTTTAAAAAAATTATAAAAAAATAATATTTTTTTTAATTATTACAGAATTAAGCTAAAAATGTTCATACTTATAAAAAATAAATTAAAATATATTTATGAAACAAAAATTAAATAAAATTATTTATTTTTAATTTATTTATTTTTAAAAAGCAAAATTTTGGAAAAAAATATTGTTCATAAAAATAAAAATTGTGTTATTTTCTAAAAAAAATACTGTTTTTGAGTTATCTCTTTAACTTAAAAAAATAAAAATTATTAAAATTAAAAAAGACAAGAATTTAACTTAAAATTTTTAAAAATTCTACTTATAATTGCACTTATAAATCTTGTTTTATTCAAAAAATATGCTTTTAGTTTTGTAACTATTATGTTGATTTTTTTTTTATTAATTTTTTTTTATAAATATATTTTTTATTTTTGTTATATTATTTTGTGTTATGCATATATGATAAATATTTTTTTTTTCTCATAAAATCATTAACAAAACTTAAAAAAAGTGAACAGATTTTGTTTTTTTCCTTTTCAATAAATATAGTTTTGTTAAGTAAATTTTTTTTATTTATTTTTTCTAATACTCTATGACATTTAAATATGTATGTATACTGTTTTTTTTGTAATGGTATCATAGGAAGATTTTTATTATTTATATATATTTCTTTATAAAGTTTGTTTTAATTTTTTTAAATATATACGGTTTTTGTTCATTTTTTATTATTTCATAGAAATTTAAGTTCGATGAATTAGTTTTTATTATTTTTTTTTTTACTATTGAAATGATGTAGAGTGTTTGTTTTAAAGTGGACTTTAGTTTATTCCAAAAAAATTATTTATTTTTTATTTTTTTTTAAAGGAGTTTTTTTATTATTGTTTTTTTTTTAATAATGAGAGTTTTTTTGTTTTGTTTTTATGTTTATAATTTATTACTGCTTTATTTATTTTAATAAAAATTTATTTATTACTAATTTACACAAAAGAATTGTTGTTTTTAAGAAATATGTCTTAAGTTTTTGAAGTTTTTGAAATTATTTCAGAATCTAAGAATTTTTTTTTAAGAAATGGCCTTGTTATTACTACTATTTAGTGTCTGAGAGTTTTGTTTTTTTACAATTTTTATTAAATTATTATTAAAATGAGAGCATTTTAGGTTCAAAATAAATTTTGTGGAATTTAATAATTCAAAAGGAAAAATTTCATTAGAAATTTAAGTTCTAAGATTGTTTTCTATTAACAAAAGCCTTTTAAAGATAAGTTTCTATGGAAACGGGTTCTCATAAGACAGTTATTTTTCTAGAAAAGTGTCTTTCAAACACAATTTTCAATAGAGAAGATTCCTTCACAAAGCTCTAAGTAGAAAAGTATTTTCTATAGACAAAACGTGCATTTTTAATATACTTTTCTATAGAAAAATCTTCTAAAAACAGTTTCCTATAAAAAAATTACTTTCTTAAGACGATTTTCAATAGAAATTTCAATATAGAAAAGTATTTTCTATAGACAAAACGTGCATTTTTAATATACTTTTCTATAGAAAAATCTTCTAAAAACAGTTTTCTATAAAAAAAATACTTTCTTAAGATGATTTCCAATAGAAATTTTGTGTTGTAAAGTCAGTTTTCTCCACTGACTTTTAAACAGAAATTTCATAAAGAAACTTTCATTTTAAAGACAGTTTCTCAATAAAAAGTTTCTCATAAAGACAAATTTTTATAAAAAAAATCTTCATAAAACATTTTTCACTACAAACGGTACTTTTAAAGACAATTCTCTATAGAAAATTCTTCCAAAGACATATTTCTTCATAAATCAGATATTTTTCTATATCTTCTTAAGACAATTTCCAGTAGAAAAGTTTCTTCCAAAGACACGCATCAATATAAACGGACGAACTTAAGACAGTTTTCTGTGGAAAAGACTTCTAAACAGAGGTTTCAGTAGAAACAGTTTTTGTAAAAAAAAGTTTTCCAAAAATACCTCTTTTAAAAGACAAATTTTATAAAGAAAGTCTTTAGAAAACAATTTTTCCTATAAAAGGAACATATTATTACAGTTTCCTATAGAAAACACTCATCTTAACATGTTTTTCTATAGAAAAATTTTCTAAAGTTTTGATTTCAATAGAAAAATAACTTCTAGATAACTGTCTATCTATAGAAAAAGTTTATTTTAAATACTGTTTTCTATAGTGAAGACTTCGAATGACAAGTAGCTATAAAAAATGTTCTTAAGACTGTTTTTCTATACAAACTTCCCATCTAAAGTTGATTTTCTATAGAAAAGACTTCCAAAGAAACTTCAAAAATAAGACTTCAAAAAGAAACGCACCTTTTAAAGAATCTTATCTATAGAAAAATCTCTTCGAAAGACAGTTTTATTCTAAAAGAACTTGTGTTCTTAAGACAACTTGCAATAGAAAAGTCTATTCTTAAGAATGTTTTCTAATTATTTTAAAATATTCAGTAGCAAAGATAGTTTTCAGTAAAGAACAGCAAATTTGTAACGGAAAAGTGTTTTCTTAAGTCATGGAAACATAGAATACATTCTGCTATAGAAAATGTCTTAAAAATAAACTTCTCCAAAGAAAACTGTGCTAAGAAGACTATTCTATAGAAAACTTTCCTGAGAAGTCTTATCTATAGAAAACTGTCTTGAGAAGATGCCTTTCTAAAGAAAACTGTCCTGAAAATCCTTTTCTATATATAAGATATATTTCTAAGGAATTGCCTTAAGAACACTTTTCTTGAACTGTCTTGAAAAGACACTATTCTAATGAAAACTGTCCTGAGAAGTCTAATCTATAGAAAACAGACTTAAGAAGTTACTTTTCTAAGAAACTCTTTTGAGAAGAAATTTCCCCAAAGAAAATAGAGAAGATAACTTTCCTAGAAAAAACTTTTCTAAAGAACAATTTCTATAGAAAATATATTCTTGGATGAAACTTTCTTTAGAAATATCTCCTATAAAGATTGTTTTCTTCTAAAGATAGTTTCCAATAGAGATTTATCTCTCGTATAAAGTTTTTAACAGAAATTTTTTTAACGTTTTCTTTAGAAAAATCTTTGAAAGATAGTTTTTTTTTCTAGAAAAGTTTCTTCCTAAGACAATCTTTAACAGAAAATTGCCTTTTGAAAATATTTTCTTTTGAAAAGTCTCTGAAAGGTAGTTTTTTATAGAAAAGTTTATTTTCTGTTTTTTTAAAGACAGTTTTAAATCGAAATTTTTTTTCTTAATCAAGTATTCAATAAAACAGAGTTTTCAAGCTGAACTTATTCTTCTTCTTCTTCTTTTTTAGTTTTATTTGAATTTATTTTATTTTAAATTAAAATTGTTGAAATTTTGTATTCGAATAATTGATTTTCTACTATTTAATTTTTAAAATTTTAAAGTATTTGTTGCAATTTTATTTGGTGTAGTTGATGTTTTACAATTTTAATGGCAGTTTTGTGAATTTTTATTATAAATTTAGTTTGAATTAGAGAAAAAAATGGCATTTTTTATTTGGCAGTTTAGTTTTCTATAAGAAATTTAAAAAAAAAGTTTATAATTTTTTATATTTTTTTATTAAAATTTAAAATTTTTAAGTTTTTTGATAAAGCAGTTAAAATTTTGAAATGTTTAAAGGATTTTAATAATAATTTGAAAATATTTTAAAAATTTAAAGATTTTTTTAATAAATTTATAAAAATTTCGTTGAAAATTTTTTAATTTTTATAAAAAACTAGAAATTTTGAAAGTTGTTATCATTCATCAAATAAGTTTTTGTTATTTAACAAAGAAATATAAAATTTTTTATTTTAAATAAAGTTAAATATGTTTAAACCTTAAGATTTTTATAAAATTCTATAAACTGGACACAATTTTTGTAAAAATTTTGCTTATAAACTCTCTTTTGCTAAACTTAACTGATCTCTGGTTTATTTTTTAATTAAATACCTGGGAAACTCTAAAACTCTCTCTTCTTTGAGATAAAGCAGTTGTTTTGTTATGATAAAACTGTTGTTTACGGTCTTACCTTAACAAGAGAACAGTATTATCTTAAACTGTAAAACCCTAAAGATAAAACAGTGTTATTGTGAGAACAGAAAGGAAATATATTTCGTTTTTAATGAGTTAAATAAAACTTTTGTTACATTATTAAATTCCACTAAATTTATTTAAAATTTTTATTTATTAATGCTTGTTGTTGTGGTTTTTTATTCAATGAACATAATTTTATATATTATTTTTGTTTAAAAATAAATGTTTTAAATTAAAATCGAAAAAACTAAAAGTTTTACAAATTTTACAACCACTTTTTTCTAGCAATTTTTTTTGTTCTTAAGATTTTCTCTAACATTCCCGAAAAAAGCCAAACATTTGTTATAGTTTTTTTTTTTAATTACTATTTAATTATTAATTCTTCTTATCCTTATTAATACTTAAAATTTATAAATAAATCTTTAGGCAGTTTTACTATTGTATGGTTTGGAAATGAAAGTTTTTTAATTGAAATAAACTCAAGAAACTAACGAAGTTGTTAACGAAAAATCAAAAATTTTTTTAAAAATTAACAAAATTTTTTTACTTTAAACTTTAGCTGTTCATTTGTTAAGACTCAAACCTAAATTTTTTTAATTTTAGTTTTAAATAATGTTTTAAATTTTTATAAGTTTTTATTTTCATATAGACTCTTTCAATTATTCAATAACTTATTATTATTTAAGTTTTTTCTTTATCATGTTTATCGTCAAGCGTAAATGTTTTTTTGTTTTTTTTTATATTTTTTTTATAATTTAGCTTAATTATTTTATCCCTTTTTTTTCAATATTTTTCTTCTATTATTCTGCCTTTTTAGTTACGAATTAGTTTCTTTTCTTTAACATTTAAGTTGTTAATTTATTTTGCTATTATGTATTTCTGATTTCTTATTAATATTTATGAATTTTGTTTTAAATGAAAATTAATACGTTGACACGAAAACATTATGAAGAGGGCAGCTACTGTGTAGGGCATTAAATGAATCAAATAATTATTATTATTGTTTAATGTTGATGCAGCATGATTGCATAAATCAGTGGTGCAGGCACAATACAAAGCCTGTACATCATGTGTACCCGAACGTTTCAGGCACTCGTTATCGTCGGTACGTTCATCGGGTATATAACCGCAACCTCTTACAATACGCACCTTGCCATAAACTGGTTTAATTTTATGCAAAATAAAAAGAAAATTTTCCAAAATTTTAGTTATTTTCCTTATGTTTTTGTTATAAATATAGTTTTTTTTTTTTGGTTTTCAAGTTATCTTACCCTTTTGTACAGTTTTACGGCATAAAATTGGTTTATACTTATCCTTGAGATGTTCACGTGGTTCCTGTTTACTACAGTTAACTTCACCTATTGAATAAGGATCGAATGGATCACCGCAGCGACCATCATATTCACTATTGCAGTCGTAACACATTAAAGCAGTTGTAACTGGAAATGGACAGAGAGAGAGAGAAAGAGACAAAATTATTAAAAACGAAGAAATCTTCCAAAGTTTATAATCTAGTCTTCTTCTAGTTCTGTTATAATTCAGTTCTGTTATCTTCTAGTTCTGTTCTAGTTCTGTTCTAGTTCTGTTCTAGTTCTGTTCTAGTTCTGTTCTAGTTCTGTTCTAGTTCTGTTCTAGTTCTGTTCTAGTTCTGTTCTAGTTCTGTTCTAGTTCTGTTCTAGTTCTGTTCTAGTTCTGTTCTAGTTCTGTTCTAGTTCTGTTCTAGTTCTGTTCTAGTTCTGTTCTAGTTCTGTTCTAGTTCTGTTCTAGTTCTGTTCTAGTTCTGTTCTAGTTCTGTTCTAGTTCTGTTCTAGTTCTGTTCTAGTTCTGTTCTAGTTCTGTTCTAGTTCTGTTATAGTTCTGTTCTAGTCTGTTCTAGTTTTGTTCGAGTTCTGTTCTAGTTCTGTTCTAGTTCTAGTTATGTTTTAGTTCTGTTCTAGTTCTAGTTCTGTTCTAGTTCTGTTTTAGTTCTGTTCTAGTTCTGTTCAAGTTCTGTTCTAGTTCTGTTCTAGTTCTGTTCTAGTTCTGTTCTAGTTCTGTTCTAGTTCTGTTCTAGTTCTGTTCTAGTTCTGTTCTAGTTCTGTTCTGGTTCTGTTCTAGTTCTGTTCTAGTTCTGTTCTAGTTCTGTTCTAGTTCTGCTCTAGTTCTGTTCTAGTTCTGTTCTAGTTCTGTTCTAGTTCAGTTCTAGTTCTGTTCTAGTTCTAGTTCTAGTTAGTTCTAGTTCTGTTCTAGTTCTAGTTCTGTTCTAGTTCTGTTCTAGTTCTGTTCTAGTTCTGTTCTAGTTCTGTTCTAGTTCTGTTCTAGTTCTGTTCTAGTTCTGTTCTAGTTCTGTTCTAGTTCTGTTCTAGTTCTGTTCTAGTTCTGTTCTAGTTCTGTTCTAGTTCTGTTCTAGTTCTGTTCTAGTTCTGTTCTAGTTCTGTTCTAGTTCTGTTCTAGTTCTGTTCTAGTTCTGTTCTAGTTCTGTTCTAGTTCTGTTCTAGTTCTGTTCTAGTTCTGTTCTAGTTCTGTTCTAGTTCTGTTCTAGTTCTGTTCTAGTTCTGTTCTAGTTCTGTTCTAGTTCTGTTCTGTTCTAGTTCTGTTCTAGTTCTGTTCTAGTTCTGTTCTAGTTCTGTTCTAGTTCTGTTCTAGTTCTGTTCTAGTTCTGTTCTAGTTCTGTTCTAGTTCTGTTCTAGTTCTGTTCTAGTTCTGTTCTAGTTCTGTTCTAGTCCTGTTCTAGTTCTGTTCTAGTTCTGTTCTAGTTCTGTTCTAGTTCTGTTCTAGTTTGTTCGAGTTCTGTTCTAGTTCTGTTCTAGTTTTGTTCTAGTTCTGTTCTAGTTCAGTTCTAGTTCTGTTCTAGTTCTAGTTATGTTTTAGTTCTGTTCTAGTTCTAGTTCTGTTCTAGTTCTAGTTCTGTTTTAGTTCTGTTCTAGTTCTGTTCTAGTTCTGTTCTAGTTCTGTTCTAGTTCTGTTCTAGTTCTGTTCTAGTTCTGTTCTAGTTCTGTTCTAGTTCTGTTCTAGTTCTGTTCTAGTTCTGTTCTAGTTCTGTTCTAGTTCTGTTCTAGTTCTGTTCTAGTTTCTGTTCTAGTTCTGTTAGTTCTGTTCTAGTTCTGTTCTAGTTCTGTTCTAGTTCTGTTCTAGTTCTGTTCTAGTTCTGTTCTAGTTCTGTTAGTTCTGTTCTAGTTCTGTTCTAGTTCTGTTCTAAGTTCTGTTCTAGTTCTGTTCTAGTTCTGTTCTAGTTCTGTTCTAGTTCTGTTCTAGTTCTGTTCTAGTTCTGTTCTAGTTCTGTTCTAGTTCTGTTCTAGTTCTGTTCTAGTTCTGTTCTAGTTTTGTTCGAGTTCTGTTCTAGTTCTGTTCTAGTTCTGTTCTAGTTCTGTTCTAGTTCAGTTCTAGTTCTGTTCTAGTTCTAGTTAGTTTTAGTTCTGTTCTAGTTCTAGTTCTGTTCTAGTTCTAGTTCTGTTTTAGTTCTGTTCTAGTTCTGTTCAAGTTCTGTTCTAGTTCTGTTCTAGTTCTGTTCTAGTTCTGTTCTAGTTCTGTTCTAGTTCTGTTCTAGTTCTGTTCTAGTTCTGTTCTAGTTCTGTTCTAGTTCTGTTCTAGTTCTGTTCTAGTTCTGTTCTAGTTCTGTTCTAGTTCTGTTCTAGTTCTGTTCTAGTTCTGTTCTAGTTCTGTTCTAGTTCTGTTCTAGTTCTGTTCTAGTTCTGTTCTAGTTCTGTTCTAGTTCTGTTCTAGTTCTGTTCTAGTTCTGTTCTAGTTCTGTTCTAGTTCTGTTCTAGTTCTGTTCTAGTTCTGTTCTAGTCTGTTCTAGTTCTGTTCTAGTTCTGTTCTAGTTCTGTTCTAGTTCTGTTCTAGTTCTGTTCTAGTTCTGTTCTAGTTCTGTTCTAGTTCTGTTCTAGTTCTGTTCTAGTTCTGTTCTAGTTCTGTTCTAGTTCTGTTCTAGTTCTGTTCTAGTTCTGTTCTAGTTCTGTTCTAGTTCTGTTCTAGTTCTGTTCTAGTTCTGTTCTAGTTCTGTTCTAGTTCTGTTCTAGTTCTGTTCTAGTTCTGTTCTAGTTCTGTTCTAGTTCTGTTCTAGTTCTGTTCTAGTTCTGTTCTAGTTCTGTTCTAGTTCTGTTCTAGTTTTGTTCTAGTTCTGTTCTAGTTCTGTTCTAGTTCTGTTCTAGTTCTGTTCTAGTTCAGTTCTAGTTCTGTTCTAGTTCATTTCTAGTTTAGGTCTAGTTCAGTTCTAGCAGTTTTAGTTCATTTCTTGTCCAGTTCCACTTCAGTTCTAGTTGAGTCCTAGTTCTGTTCTACTTCGATTCTAGTACATTCCATTTTTAATTCATTATCAGTTGACAATTTGAATAACATTTCAATAACGTAGAAACTAATTTTATTTTTATAAGTTATATCCAACTTTATTTTTTTTCTATTATATTATTTTGTTTATAAACGCTGTCAAATAAATTTGACATTTAATTATTATAAGCTAATAATGACAGTTCAGAGAACAGCTGTCATTACGTTTAATAAAAAAATAGAGAGAAAATGTAATCATCATAAAAAATTAAATTGAAACTAAATATTAGAATAAATAAGTAATTTTCTTAGAACTGTTAAACAATTAAAAGCAAAGTAATCGAAATAATGCAATTTAATTAAAAAGGGGGAGAAATTTTATAACAATTTAATACTTTGTAGAGGAAACTAGCTATTAATTAAATTAGTATAAAAAACTTGTATTTTTAATTAATTTAAAACTATTTATAACAAATATAAGACTCACCTTGCAGGCAGGCCAATAGGGCAACCAAAAGTAATGTTCTTTCCATAAATGGTGACATGGTCAACTGTTGTTGGTAGTTTTGTTGTTTGTTAGATTTTCCTTTAACTGTTTCTTTTACTTTTCTTGTTAGTTTTGTTTTATTGACTGTGGGAGGAAGGAGGGAAGCTTGTCTCCTTTATAGTTTTAACGTTATTTAATAAAACACGCACTTGTACGTGTAATAGACAAACCCCGTTAAAATACGTTTAACAAAAATCACTTGGAATTTTAGTTTTTTCCTATCACTCGTTCTTTCGTTTTTTTGTACGTCCGTTTAATTCTTCAATACGTTTCGTTTGAATTAAATCAATAATGAAACACGCAATATTTTATTATATATATTTTTTTTGCTATTTTGTTTAATAATTTCTCGTTTTTGTTTAATAAAACTGAAAAACTTAAATAGAGAATATTTTGGTATTTTACGGTTTAAACGTTAAATTTGTTAAATCAACAACATGCCGCCTTATCGAGTGTTTCTATAGAAATGAGAGAAAGAACAAAAAAAATTTGTTTAATAACTTAAATTTTTTTTCTCAGTTAATAATTATATATTCAAATCGTGTTTAATACAATATTACAATAATTTGAATTTCTAATAATAGATATATTGTGTTAGATAAATTAATTACTTTTCAGTTTATTTATTAGGCTTAGATTTTGTTAATAAAAAAGAGAAAAAAATTCAACTGCATTTCAATTCTAGTTCTGTTCTAGTTCTGTTCTAGTTCTGTTCTAGTTCTGTTCTAGTTCTGTTCTAGTTCTGTTCTAGTTCTGTTCTAGTTCTGTTCTAGTTCTGTTCTAGTTCTGTTCTAGTTCTGTTCTAGTTCTGTTCTAGTTCTGTTCTAGTTCTGTTCTAGTTCTGTTCTAGTTCTGTTCTAGTTCTGTTCTAGTTCTGTTCTAGTTCTGTTCTAGTTCTGTTCTAGTTCTGTTCTAGTTCTGTTCTAGTTCTGTTCTAGTTCTGTTCTAGTTCTGTTCTAGTTCTGTTCTAGTTTCTGTTCTAGTTCTGTTCTAGTTCTGTTCTAGTTCTGTTCTAGTTCTGTTCTAGTTCTGTTCTAGTTCTGTTCTAGTTCTGTTCTAGTTCTGTTCTAGTTCTGTTCTAGTTCTGTTCTAGTTCTGTTCTAGTTCTGTTCTAGTTCTGTTCTGTTCTAGTTCTGTTCTGTTCTGTTCTAGTTCTGTTCTAGTTCTGTTCTAGTTCTGTTCTAGTTCTGTTCTAGTTCTGTTCAAGTTCTGTTTTAGTTCTGTTCTAGTTCTGTTTAGTTCTGTTCTAGTTCTGTTCTAGTTCTGTTCTAGTTCTGTTCTAGTTCTGTTCTAGTTCTGTTCTAGTTCTGTTCTAGTTCTGTTCTAGTTCTGTTCTAGTTCTGTTCTAGTTCTGTTCTAGTTCTGTTCTAGTTCTGTTCTAGTTCTGTTCTAGTTCTGTTCTAGTTCTGTTCTAGTTCTGTTCTAGTTCTGTTCTAGTTCTGTTCTAGTTCTGTTCTAGTTCTGTTCTAGTTCTGTTCTAGTTCTGTTCTAGTTCTGTTCTAGTTCTGTTCTAGTTCTGTTCTAGTTCTGTTCTAGTTCTGTTCTAGTTCTGTTCTAGTTCTGTTCTAGTTCTGTTCTAGTTCTGTTCTAGTTCTGTTCTAGTTCTGTTCTAGTTCTGTTCTAGTTCTGTTCTAGTTCTGTTCTAGTTCTGTTTTAGTTCTATTCTAGTTCTGTTCAGTTCTGTTCTTTTAAAATTTATTGAAATTATGTTCTTCCGGTTATTCAATTTATTACAAAATCAATTTCTCAGCTAAATATAAATAAAATTTCCACCTTAGAAACAGTTGAAAATAATAAAACAGTTGAATAAATCACAACCCCCTAAAAACATGCAACATTTCTAAATAATATCACAAGCGGAAACTCAATTTTATATTATAAAAATGACTATACAAAACAACAACAACACTTTCACTCATATAAATTGACTCACGCACACACATACATTCTTACAGACAATATGCACTCAACACAATTGATTAACATTTCAAGCACTAAAATGTATGCTTTACTTTTTTTCTGCTGTTAAAAAAAGTAAAAGATTTTTTTCGTTAACCCAATTTAAAACAACTCAATAGTCATCATAATAAGTGCTCGTAGTATAATTAAATCTCAGTGGATTTGTTGGTTATATCTTTATCTTTATACTAGATCTTGTTAGTATTATGTAAATATGTATTACATGGCTAAAAAGTTTTATTTTTTTTTAAGAAAACTATGTAGTTCTTTTGTATCATTGTTGCTTTTCTTTTTTGTTACGTTCTGCTTCTAGTTATAGTTTTCTCTGCGGTTATTGGTTGGATTAATTGTATTCGTTGTACGGTTATTTTCTTGAGGTTTTTACTATAGTTTTGGGTTTTTATTGTTTGTAACAGAATACTAGTTGGATGAATTGTGTAATAAAATAATCAAATTGTAGATATTTCTACTATAAAGTTCATTTTTTTGTTAGTTATAAAGGGCTAAACATATGATTTGTATTTTTTGCAACTTTTTTCTTTAACGAATTTCTATGAAAACTTATTAATTTATATAAAACTTCTTTTGAGTTCTATAACTTTTGTTTTGTTCAAATCTTTTGAAAATTGTGTAATCATAGAAGAGAACCTTACGAAAACTAAACTGTATATAATATTGTTGAACAGTATAGGGACTGTCGTTCAGGAGGTGAATACTTTATTTACATAAACTCTAAATTAATATTAATCATACGCCCTAGAGTTTAAAATATGTAATTATGAAATATTTTACTTTTAAATGAAAAAGTTGAAACTTCAGTTAGTTAGATCCAGTTTAACTGTAGTTCGCTTCTAATCTGTTCTAGTTGTGTTTTACTTTTGTTCTAGTTCTGTTCTAGTTCTGTTCTAGTTCTGTTCTAGTTCTGTTCTAGTTCTGTTCTAGTTCTGTTCTAGTTCTGTTCTAGTTCTGTTCTAGTTCTGTTCTAGTTCTGTTCTAGTTCTGTTCTAGTTCTGTTCTAGTTCTGTTCTAGTTCTGTTCTAGTTCTGTTCTAGTTCTGTTCTAGTTCTGTTCTAGTTCTGTTTTAGTTCTGTTCTAGTTCTGTTCTAGTTCTGTTCTAGTTCTGTTCTAGTTCTGTTCTAGTTCAGTTCTAGTTCAGTTCTAGTTCAGTTCTAGTTCCGTTCTAGTTCTGTTCTAATTCTGTTCTAGTTCTGTTCTAGTTCTGTTCTAGTTCTGTTCTAGTTCTGTTCTAGTTCTGTTCTAGTTCTGTTCTAGTTCTGTTCTAGTTCTGTTCTAGTTCTGTTCTAGTTCTGTTCTAGTTCTGTTCTAGTTCTGTTCTAGTTCTGTTCTAGTTCTGTTCTAGTTCTGTTCTAGTTCTGTTCTAGTTCTGTTCTAGTTCTGTTCTAGTTCTGTTCTAGATCTGTTCTAGTTCTGTTCTAGTTCTGTTCTAGTTCTGTTCTAGTTCTGTTCTAGTTCTGTTCTAGTTCTGTTCTAGTTCTGTTCTAGTTCTGTTCTAGTTCTGTTCTAATTCTGTTCTAGTTCTGTTCTAGTTCTGTTCTAGTTCTGTTCTAGTTCTGTTCTAGTTCTGTTCTAGTTCTGTTCTAGTTCTGTTCTAGTTCTGTTCTAGTTCTGTTCCAGTTCTGTTCCAGTTCTGTTCTAGTTCTGTTCTAGTTCTGTTCTAGTTCTGTTCTAGTTCTGTTGTAGTTCTGTTGTAGTTCTGTTGTAGTTCTGTTGTAGTTCTGTTGTAGTTCTGTTGTAGTTCTGTTCTAGTTCTGTTCTAGTTTTGTTCTAGTTCTGTTCTAGTTCTGCTCTAGTTCTGTTCTAGTTCTAGTTCTGTTCTAGTTCTGTTCTAGTTCTGTTCTAGTTCTAGTTCTGTTCTAGTTCTGTTCTAGTTCTGTTCTAGTTCTGTTCTAGTTTTGTTCTAATTCTGTTCTAGTTCTGTTCTAGTTCTGTTCTAGTTCTGTTCTAGTTCTGTTCTAGTTCTGTTCTAGTTCTGTTCTAGTTCCGTTCTAGTTCTGTTCTAGTTCTGTTCTAGTTCTGTTCTAGTTTTGTTCTAGTTCTGTTCTAGTTCTGTTCAAGTTTTGTTCTAGTTCTGTTCTAGTTCTCTTCTAGTTCTGTTTTAGTTCAGTTCTAGTTCTGTTCTAGTTCTGTTCTAGTTCTGTTCTGTTCTAGTTCTGTTCTAGTTCTGTTCTAGTTCTGTTCTAGTTCTGTTCTAGTTCTGTTCTAGTTCTATTCTAGTTCTGTTCTAGTTCTATTTCTCTTCCAGTTTAATACCAACAACTTCCATAACCTAAAACCAAACAAATTTATTTTATCATCATTTTAAGTAATTGCTCAAAAGACACACTTAAATAAACTAGCTGGAAAAAAACTATTAAAATTGCCTCCAAATATGTCAATTGTATTATAGCCATTGTTCTCTTCCTCAATAAATTGTACCATTTGCTTACTTCTCTCTGTTATCCTTGTCATCAAACAGCAAAAAATTGCAGTTATACATGTTCACGACCTATTGAGTACAATTCATTTTGATTTTGTCCACGTTGTTGTTATTATTATAGTTGTTGGTCGAAGTGTTTTAAACTCATTTTTGTTGTTGGTTTATTTTTTATAGTGCTATTCTTCCTTTCTCTCTGTTTCTCGCTCTGTTCGATGTGTGTAACTGTGTCATTTTTCTGTTTTATTGTTTTGTGGTTATGTGTGTGTGTATTTTCCATTTTTTTATTATTTTTGTTGTTTTGTGCATTTTGCTATTAAACTCAATATAATGATGACGCTATAAACGACCTAATTACATGCTCACACAAACATTTTTACAAACACACTCACTTACATATATATTAAAACTATCAGAAGTAGAAAAAAAGAAAACAAATAACAAATATACGAAGAGAAAATGAATGGTCTTAAGAACTACTCACAAAAAAAAAAAAAAAAAAAAAAAAACTGAACTATTCACCAACCTACTCACAAACCTCGCTCTAGTACTCGTACTTTGCCTACGAAGAGTGCTTTCTTGTATGCTTTGTCTGTTGTTTGTTTGTTTGCTTGTGCATGTTTTTATGTTGTTCTGTGCTTTAGTGTCTTGTCAGCAAAAATTGCTTTCTTATTGTTGTTGTTGTTGCTGCTGCTGTGGTTTTAGTTGTAGATATAAATGTTGTTGTTGCTTTTACTAGTCTTGTTGTTGGCAGAAAGAACAATTTAATTGGATTGAAATGTTAGCTTTTTAACTACACTTTGTAGTTAAAGCCCTTTTGTGAAGAAGGAGAAAAAAAAACAGGGAATGAGATGAGTGCTAAAAACTAAACTGAACTACAAAACCTCTCACACTTACTTACTTAAAGTGTATATTAGACTGGTTCACACTATTTAGAGAAAAAACTAAAATGGTGTTTTTTAATAAAAAACATCGTGGCTGGATTTCTTTTTCTATTCGGTTTTCAGCTTTTTTAAAGGAAAAAACAAACGTTTTTCTAAAAGTTATAATAAATTGCTCATACGCCTCCTCCTATGATATTTTCATAGCAAACTTTTAGGTGCTGCTTGAAAACTATATAGAAGGAAATGTTTTGTTAAAGGGTTTTATTAAAACTGTAACAAGTTCCACAAATTTTAACCGATTTGAAAAAATCGAAAGCTATTTTACTCACAACAAAGCCGGCTTTTCAAATTAATATCAGTTTCATATAAATTTTTAAACAGCTTATAATCACAAGCATTTGAAATCAAACAAATGTTTAATTAAGAGTTTTTAGTACCATCGATACAAATTTTAAAAATTTTAAACATTTTGGAAACATTAAGCGCCATTGAGTCCACAATAAAATTCTCAACGAAATTTTAAAAAGTTCATTTTAAAATTATGCATTACTTTGAGCACTTCTACATTATTAAATATTTTGTTTTAAATAAAATTTGAAATTAAACAAATAATTTTATAAGTAAAACCCAAATTTCTTTAATCTATAGAAATCTTTATCTAAAAAAAAACATTTAAATTTTCCCGGCACAACCTCAAACTTAATATTAATCATATGCCCATGGGTCCTCAAACTTTAACAAATTCTGGTCATTAAAGTAATAAATTTGAAATATGTTCGCCTTAAAGAAATTATTTTCCGGAAAAAACTTCAATTCAATTCGGTTAGTTGTAGTTTAGCCTATAGACTATTGTATAGCCTATCTCGTCTATAGTATACAGTATAGTTTATAGTCCTAGTCTACAGTCTAGAGTATAGTCTATAGTCTAGTCTATAGTCGATTCTATAGTCTAGTCTATAGTCGATTCTATAGTCTAGTCTATAGTCTAGTCTAGTCTAGTCTAGTCTATAGTCTAGTCTATAGTCTAGTCTATAGTCTAGTCTATAGTCTAGTCTATAGTCTAGTCTATAGTCTAGTCTATAGTCTAGTCTATAGTCTAGTCTATAGTCTAGTCTATAGTCTAGTCTAGTCTAGTCTATAGTCTAGTCTATAGTCTAGTCTATAGTCTAGTCTATAGTCTAGTCTATAGTCTAGTCTATAGTCTAGTCTATAGTCTAGTCTATAGTCTAGTCTATAGTCTAGTCTATAGTCTAGTCTATAGTCTAGTCTATAGTCTAGTCTATAGTCTAGTTATAGTCTAGTCTATAGTCTAGTCTATAGTCTAGTCTATAGTCTAGTCTATAGTCTAGTCTATAGTCTAGTCTATAGTCTAGTCTATAGTCTAGTCTATAGTCTAGTCTATAGTCTAGTCTATAGTCTAGTCTATAGTCTAGTCTATAGTCTAGTCTATAGTCTAGTCTATAGTCTAGTCTATAGTCTAGTCTATAGTCTAGTCTATAGTCTAGTCTATAGTCTAGTCTATAGTCTAGTCTATAGTCTAGTCTATAGTCTAGTCTATAGTCTTAGTCTATAGTCTAGTCTATAGTCTAGTCTAGTCTAGTCTATAGTCCTAGTCTATAGTCTAGTCTATAGTCTAGTCTATAGTCTAGTCTATAGTCTAGTCTATAGTCTAGTCTATAGTCTAGTCTATAGTTAGTCTATAGTTAGTCTATAGTCTAGTCTATAGTCTAGTCTATAGTCTAGTTATAGTCTAGTCTATAGTCTAGTCTATAGTCTAGTCTAGTCTAGTCTATAGTCTAGTCTATAGTCTTCTAGTCTATAGTCTAGTCTATAGTCTGTCTATAGTCTAGTCTATAGTCTAGTCTATAGTCTAGTCTATAGTCTAGTCTATTGTCTAGTCTATAGTCTAGTCTATAGTCTAGTCTATAGTCTAGTCTATAGTCTAGTCTATAGTCTAGTCTATAGTCTAGTCTATAGTCTAGTCTATAGTCTAGTCTATAGTCTAGTCTATAGTCTAGTCTATAGTCTAGTCTATAGTCGAGTCTATAGTCTAGTCTATAGTCTAGTCTATAGTCCAGTCTATAGTCTAGTCTATAGTCTAGTCTAGTCTATAGTCTAGTCTATAGTCTAGTCTATAGTCTAGTCTATAGTCTAGTCTATAGTCTAGTCTATAGTCTAGTCTATAGTCTAGTCTATAGTCTAGTCTATAGTCTAGTCTATAGTCTAATCTATAGTCTAGTCTATAGTCTAGTCTATAGTCTAGTCTATAGTCTAGCTTATAGTCTAGCCTATAGTCTAGTCTATAGTCTAGCCTATAGTCTAGTCTATAGTCAAGTCTATAGTCTAGTCTATAGTCTAGTCTATAGTCTAGTATATAGTCTAGTCTAGTTTATAGTCTAGTATATAGTCTAGTCTAGTTTATAGTCTAGTCTATAGTCTAGTCTATAGTCTGGTCTATAGTCTAGTCTATACTCTAGTCTATAGTCTAGTCTATAGTCTAGTCTATAGACTAGTCTATAGTCTAGTCTATAGTCTAGTCTATAGTCTAGTCTATAGTCTAGTCTATAGTCTAGTCTATAGTCTAGTCTATAGTCTAGTCTATAGTATAGTCTAGTCTATAGTCTAGTCTATAGTCTAGTCTATAGTCTAGTCTATAGTCTAGTCTATAGTCTAGTCTATAGTCTAGTCTATAGTCTAGTCTATAGTCTAGTCTATAGTCTAGTCTATAGTCTAGTCTATAGTCTAGTCTATAGTCTAGTCTATAGTCTAGTCTATAGTCTACTAGTCTAGTCTATAGTCTAGTCTATAGTCTAGTATATAGTCTAGTCTATAGTCTAGTCTATAGTCTAGTCTATAGTCTAGTCTATAGTCTAGTCTATAGTCTAGTCTATAGTCTAGTCTATAGTCTAGTCTATAGTCTAGTCTATAGTCTAGTCTATAGTCTAGTCTATAGTCTAGTCTATAGTCTAGTCTATAGTCTAGTCTATGGTCTAGTCTATGGTCTAGTCTATATTCTAGTTTATAGTATAATCTACATTCTGTTTCATAGACTAGTATAGATAGAGTCTAGTCCACAGTCTACCTTATAATCTAATCTATAGTCTAATCTATATTCAAAGCTATAGTGAAGTCTGTAGTCTATTATATTGTAGTTTGTTCTATAATCTAGCATATAGTATAGTCTAGTCTATAGTCCAGTCTATAGTCGAGTCTATTTAATCTACTCTATAGACTAGAATAGTTTAGTGTTTAGTATAGTCTAGTCTAGTTTATATATAGTCTAGCCTATAGTGCAATCTATAGTCTAGTCTAGGCTGCATTCTAATTTATAATTTAGCCTATAGTCTAGTACGACGGAAAAATTATATTGTACTTTAAAACCTTAAACCTACTCTTTTTGTTATAAGTCTGAACTAGAGTATAGTCCTTAGTCAAAACTATAGTCTAGTTTAGGACCAAAACTAGGAACTCGTTTAGGAACAAAACTATGAAGTCGTTTATTGTTTAAACTCTATAAAAAATATTCCACATATTTTTCTTAAAAGGAAATCTAAGTAAAGTTTTTATTTAAGTTGCCTGAAAAGTCCTGTGAAATTATTTTGTTATAGAATTGCTTCTTACGATTTTGCAGAACCTGCAAATATTTATATATTTGGTTGCAAAAACGGTATCAAAAAAGAAAGAGGTGTTTTAGTTAAGTTTTGATTTGCATAATATTTTTTTAATCTTCGAACAACTTTAAGTAATGACCTCATTTGACCCCAATTTCAAGAGAAAATTATGCAATGACCTCTTTTATTTTTTCTTTCTTTTTTTGTTGTTATAGTGTTACAAAACCTTAAAATTTTCTTTTATCTATTGATAAAAATTAATTGAATTTATTTCTATTCTATAGAGCACTTGTTATACAATTATGAAAGAAAACAGTCTTTGGCAACACTGCCAAATGAAAGAGTGTTATAGAGAGAGAGAGAACGAGAAAAAGAGAGAGATGTAGAGTTTTCCTTTAGTTAGTTGTTTTTAAATTTAACATGGCAACGTGAAATGCTATGAAAAGGAAGAAGAACAAAAAAAAAAAAAAAACGAAAAGCTTAAAAGGGAATAAATGAAAAGTGGAAAATAATACAACAACAACAAGAAAGAATTTGACAAGAAAATTGATTTTTCATTTTTGCTGATATAACTGATGATTTTGTACTCTTTTGCCTGTTTTTTTTTTTTTTTTGAATTGAGCTGAAACAGGAAATGTAAAAATTAAGGGGATATGTTGTTGTTGTTGTTGCTGCTGCTGCTGTTAGTATTTGAAAATATCCTGTTTTTAATGAAATATTTATATAATTTCCTGTAAGTTGAGATGGAAAAGAAAGCTTGTGTTCTCTTTTTGCTCTGCGGCCCCCCCTTTTATACTCTTCAATTCTTCCCCGATTTTTTTTCCTTTAACGGTAAAATTATATATCATGTAGCGAGTAGAGTTGTTGTGATTATTGGAAATTCAATAACTGACCTAGTTAAGTCAAATTTTAAAGAAAGTTTTACTTAAAACTTTTTTTATTTCGCAAATTTTAAAGTTATTAAAGTTTTTTTTAAGGTTTTTAGAAAGAAATTTTTATAAAATTTTTTAAATTTCTTAATTAATTAATAAAAAACTTTATTAATCAAGTTTTATTCTATAACTGTTTTGTAAAATTTTAATTGTCTTGCAAAGAAAAACTTATGTAATCATTAGTCATGCTCAATTATATGTCAAATGCCTCTGAAAACCTCAATTTCCTGGTAAAAATTTTGAACTTTTTTTCTTAAAAAAAGTTTCATAACACTTTTTTTCTTTAAACTATATAATAGAATTTAAAAAATTTTCAGTAAATTTTCTTTAAAATAAGTAAAACCCAACACTTTTTTAATAAATTTCAAATTTTTTTCTTCTTGTCACAAAAGTCCTTTTTTTAAACAATTTTTTTTCTTGAAATTATTTAAATATTTTTACCCATAAACTTTTTTAACTTATTATTTCTTTTATTAATAAACTTATTACTTAATTTTATTAAAATTTTATTTTTAAAATAAAATTTTTCAATATTTACGTAAGAGCTTGCCTTTATATATATAAATTTCTCTAGTACCCGGACAATGTTTTCTTAGTAGTAAAAAAGTTTCTTTTTTTTTGTTCAAATTCTTTTTCACAAAAAAAAATATTCTATTTTTTTCCTTTACTTTTTCTATATAATTTTTGATGCGTTGACAAAACTGGCAAACGTTAAACACCGTTATTTCTTGTTTTATGTTTGTTTAATTCACCAAAAAAGACAAAAATACACGAGTCAGAAAATCCAGCAAGGACGTCTGTAGCTTACTGTTAACTCGTCACACAGAAAAACCGTAACCAACACTCGCTGCGGAAGAAAAAAAATATCCAGCACAAAAGAAAAAAAAACTACCGTATGCTCCTCTCCTTCTGTTAATCAATAAAATCCGTTATTTTGCTCAGTTGCTAAAAATAGGTTTAAGAACTTTTAACTCAACCTTTAATTTTGAAAGCTATACCTAGTTTAACTCCCCTTACATATAATTTAATATATTTCTTATTATTATAATAAATACAATTCTTATTAATTTACTAAATTCTTTCCAATTTCCCTTAAACAATATTTTAGCCTTTTCTAAGCAACTCTGTTTTTTTGTTTGAAACTGTTAAATGTCTTAAACAACTCTGTTTATGGGTTTAAGTTCATTTCTTTTACTCTTGTTTAAACACTCTCTGTTAAAGAGTAAAAGCTTTTTAGTTAAACCGTTAAGTAATTATGACAGGGAAATGTCAATATTAAATGCACTTAACAAAAATAGTGAGTACAACAGACCAGACTATAGTCTAGAAAGTAGACTAAAGACTACACCACAGACTAAACTATAAAACAGACTATAGAGTAAAAGATAAACTAGACTAGTTTAAAATAGAGACTAGACCATAATCTGAACTAGAGCCTATTCTAGACTATATTCTGTATTATAGGCTATAGAACTGAACTAGAAACTAGAACTGAAGTAGAACTGAAGTAGAACTGAAGTAGAACTGAACTAGAACTGAACTAGAACTGACCTAGAACTGACTAGAACTGAACTAGAACTGAACTAGAACTGAACTAGAACTGAACTAGAACTGAACTAGAACTGAACTAGAACTGAACTAGAACTGAACTAGAACTGAACTAGAACTGAACTAGAACTGAACTAGAACTGAACTAGAACTGACTAGAACTGAAACTAGAACTGAACTAGAACTGAACTAGAACTGAACTAGAACTGAACTAGAACTGAACTAGAACTGAACTAGAACTGAACTAGACTGAACTAGAACTGAACTAGAACTGAACTAGAACTGAACTAGAACTGAACTAGAACTGAACTAGAACTGAACTAGAACTGAACTAGAACTGAACTAGAACTGAACTAGAACTGAACTAGAACTGAACTAGAACTGAATTAGAACTGAACTAGACTGAACTAGAACTGAACTAGAACTAGAACTGAACTAGAACTGAAGTAGAACTGAACTAGAACTGAACTAGAACTGAAGTAGAACTGAAACTAGAACTGAACTAGAACTGAACTAGAACTGAACTAGAACTGAACTAGAACTGAACTAGAACTGAACTAGAACTGAACTAGAACTGAACTAGAACTGAACTAGAACTGAACTAGAACTGAAGTAGAACTGAACTAGAACTGAACTAGAACTGAACTAGAACTGAACTAGAACTGAACTAGAACTGAACTAGAACTGAACTAGAACTGAACTAGAACTGAACTAGAACTGAACTAGAACTGAACTAGAACTGAACTAGAAACTGAACTAGAACTGAACTAGAACTGAACTAGAACTGAAGTAGAACTGAAGTAGAACTGAACTAGAACTGAACTAGAACGAACTAGAACTGAACTAGAACTGAACTAGAACTGAACTAGAATGAACTAGAACTGAACTAGAACTGAACTAGAACTGAACTAGAACTGAACTAGAACTGAACTAGAACTGAACTAGAACTGAACTAGAACTGAACTAGAACTGAACTAGAACTGAACTAGAACTGAACTAGAACTGAACTAGAACTGAACTAGAACTGAACTAGAACTGAACTAGAACTGAACTGAACTAGAACTGAATAGAACTGAACTAGAACTGAACTAGAACTGAACTAGAACTGAACTAGAACTGAACTAGAACTGAACTAGAACTGAACTAGAACTGAACTAGAACTGAACTAGAACTGAACTAGAACTGAACTAGAACTGAACTAGAACTGAACTAGAACTGAACTAGAACTGAACTAGAACTGAAAGAACTGAAAACTAGAACTGAACTAGAACTGAACTAGAACTGAACTAGAACTGAACGAACTGAACTAGAACTGAACTAGAACTGAACTAGAACTGAAGTAGAACTGAAGTAGAACTGAACTAGAACTGAACTAGAACCGAACTAGAACTGAACTAGAACTGAACTAGAACTGAACTAGAACTGAACTAGAACTGAACTAGAACTGAACTAGAACTGAACTAGAACTGAACTAGAACTGAACTAGAACTGAACTAGAACTGAATAGAACTGAACTAGAAACTGAACTAGAACTGAACTAGAACTGAACTAGAACTGAACTAGAACTGAACTAGAACTGAACTAGAACTGAACTAGAACTGAACTAGAACTGAACTAGAACTGAACTAGAACTGAACTAGAACTGAACTGAACTAGAATGAACTAGTTAGTTAGTTAGTTAGTTAGTTAGTTAGTTAGTTAGTTAGTTAGTTAGTTAGTAGTTAGTAGTTAGTTAGTTAGTTAGTTAGTTAGTTAGTAGTTAGTTAGTTAGTTAGTTAGTTAGTTAGTTAGGTTAGTTAGTAGTTAGTTAGTTAGTAGTTAGTTATAGTTAGTTAGTTAGTTAGTTAGTTAGTTAGTTAGTTAGTTAGTTAGTTAGTTAGTAGTTAGTTAGTTAGTTAGTTAGTAGTTAGTTAGTTAGTTAGTTAGTAGTTAGTTGTTAGTTTAGTTAGTTAGTTAGTAGTTAGTTAGTAGTAGTTAGTTAGTAGTTAGTTAGTTAGTTAGTAGTTAGTTAGTAGTTAGTTAGTTAGTAGTAGTAGTTAGTTAGTAGTTAGTTAGTTAGTTAGTTAGTTAGTAGTTAGTTAGTAGTTAGTTAGTAGTTAGTTAGTTAGTTAGTAGTTAGTTAGTAGTAGTTAGTTAGTTAGTTAGTAGTAGTTAGTTAGTTAGTTAGTTAGTTAGTTAGTTAGTTAGTTAGTTAGTTAGTAGTTAGTTAGTAGTTAGTTAGTTAGTTAGTTAGTTAGTTAGTTAGTTAGTTAGTTAGTTAGTTAGTTAGTTAGTTAGTGAGTAGTAGTTAGTTAGTTAGTTAGTTAGTAGTTAGTAGTTAGTTAGTGGTAGTTAGTTAGTTAGTTAGTTAGTTAGTTAGTTAGTTAGTTAGTTAGTTAGTTAGTTAGTAGTTAGTAGTTAGTTTTAGTAGTTAGTAGTTAGTTAGTTAGTTAGTAGTTAGTTAGTTAGTTAGTTAGTAGTTAGTTAGTTAGTTAGTTAGTTAGTAGTTAGTTAGTTAGTTAGTTAGTAGTAGTTAGTAGTTAGTTAGTTAGTTAGTTAGTTAGTAGTTAGTTAGTTAGTAGTTAGTTAGTTAGTTAGTGTTAGTTAGTTAGTTAGTAGTTAGTAGTAGTTGTTAGTTAGTTAGTTAGTTAGTTAGTTAGTTGTTAGTTAGTTAGTAGTTAGTTAGTTAGTTAGTAGTTAGTTAGTTAGTTAGTTAGTTAGTTAGTTAGTTAGTTAGTTAGTTAGTTAGTAGTTAGTTAGTTAGTTAGTTAGTTAGTAGTTAGTTAGTTAGTAGTTATAGTTAGTTAGTTAGTTAGTTAGTAGTTAGTTAGTTAGTTAGTTAGTTAGTTAGTTAGTTAGTTAGTTAGTTAGTTAGTTAGTTAGTTAGTTAGTAGTAGTAGTTAGTTAGTTAGTTAGTTAGTTAGTTAGTTAGTTAGTTAGTTAGTAGTTAGTTAGTTAGTTAGTTAGTTAGTTAGTTAGTAGTTAGTTAGTTAGTTAGTTGTTAGTTAGTAGTAGTTAGTTAGTTAGTTAGTTAGTTAGTTGAGTTAGTTAGTTAGTTAGTTTAGTTAGTTAGTTAGTTAGTTAGTTAGTTAGTTAGTTAGTTAGTTAGTTAGTTAGTTAGTTAGTTAGTTAGTTAGTTAGTTAGTTAGTTAGTTAGTTAGTTAGTAGTTAGTTAGGTAGTTAGTTAGTTGTAGTTTAGTTAGTGTTAGTTAGTTAGTAGTTAGTTAGTTAGTTAGTTAGTTAGTTAGTTAGTTAGTAGTTAGTTAGTAGTTAGTTAGTTAGTTAGTTAGTTAGTTAGTTAGTTGTTAGTTAGTAGTTAGTAGTAGTTAGTTAGTTAGTTAGGTTTAGTTAGTTAGTAGTTAGTTAGTTAGTTAGTTAGTAGTAGTGTAGTTAGTTAGTTAGTAGTTAGTTAGTTAGTTAGTAGTTAGTTAGTTAGTAGTTAGTAGTTAGTTAGTTAGTAGTTAGTAGTTAGTTAGTTAGTTAGTTAGTTAGTTAGTTAGTTAGTTAGTTAGTTAGTAGTAGTTAGTTAGTAGTTAGTAGTTAGTTAGTTAGTTAGTTAGTTAGTTAGTTAGTTAGTTAGTTAGTTAGTTAGTTAGTTAGTTAGTTAGTAGTTAGTTAGGTAGTTAGTTAGTTAGTTAGTAGTTAGTTAGTTAGTTAGTTAGTTAGTTAGTTAGTAGTTAGTTAGTAGTTAGTTAGTTAGTTAGTTAGTTAGGTAGTTAGTTAGTTAGTTGTTAGTAGTTAGTTAGTTAGTAGTTAGTTAGTTAGTTAGTTAGTTAGTTAGTAGTTAGTTAGTTAGTAGTTAGTTAGTTAGTAGTTAGTTAATGAATGAACTAGAACTGAAACTAGAACTGAACTAGAACTGAACTAGAACTGAACTAGAACTGAACTAGAAACTGAAACTAGAACTGAACAGAACTGAACTAGAACTGAACTAGAACTGAACTAGAACTGAACTAGAACTGAACTAGAAACTGAACTAAAACTGAACTAGAACTGAACTAGAACTGAACTAGAAATGAACTAGAACTGAACTAGAAACTGAACTAGAAACTGAACTAGAACTGAACTAGAACTGAACTAGAACTGAACTAGAACTGAACTAGAACTGAACTGAACGAGAACTGAATTAGAACTGAAAGAGACTGAACTAGAACTGAACTAGAACTAGAACTGAAGTAGAACTGAAGTAGAACTGAACTAGAACTGAACTAGAACTGAAGTAGAACTGAACTAGAACTGAACTAGAACTGAACTAGAACTGAACTAGAACTGAACTAGAACTGAACTAGAACTGAACTAGAAACTG